GGCACCTTGCGGCTTGCTCCAGAAAGGAGGCCACCGCTGCGCCCCAGCCCGTGCTTGGACTCGGAGTCGACGTCTCCTCGATCTCGCCGTTGAGCCCCATTGAGCTTGATCTCCAGTTTCTCGAGGGTCGCCTCTTTGTCTCTGAGCGAATTGCGGGCTTTCGCGGCCTCCTTTGCCAGCTTTGTCAAGCGGGGCTTGCACTTGTTTCTCTGCTCCTCCACGTGGCTGCGGCCTCGCACCATCACTCTGTGAAGCTGCGCGGGACCATCGTGTTGACCTTGGTTTGCACTGCATCGGTCCGCTTCTGAGACCCGCCAGCCTTGTCCGCCATGAGGTCGCCCAGGACGTTGTCGCCCGAGAGCTTCTTGAGCTCTGCCAGCTTGCCCCGCATGGTCGCGAGCTGATCGCTAAGGTCCTTGTCGCCTCCATCGGTGGACTTGGTCGTGCCGTCCGGCGTGTTATCTGCAGCCGATTTCGTCTTCCAGCACTTCACCCGAAATCGTCGCCGTCACCAGTCGTGGCCGAGCATCGCGCGCACTTCTCAGTGACATGGCTGTTGCTGCCTGGCTTCGGTGCCAGGGGATTCGGGCACGCAGTGCCACTCTTACGTCGGCGCACCTCCCCGCCCATGCAGCCTTCTCAGGCCTAGAGGCTGCTCTGGCGCAACATGGCTAGGAGGAGGAGGAGGAGGAGGAGGAGGAGGAGGAGGAGGAGGGACGAAGCTCCGGATGGTTGATAAGCAGCTCCAGGGGTTTAGGGGAAGGAGCAGGAGGACGGGGATCGATGATGCCGACGAGCTTGACGAGATAAATGAGGACGAGGGATAGGAGGACGAATGGGAAAAGAGGGGGGAGGAGGAAGAGGAGGAGGAGGACGACGACGAGTAGGAGATGAGGGGAAGCGGGCGAGGAGGAGGTGGATGAGGAGGATGAACATTACAACGACGACAGCGGTGGCGACTGCGATGACGATGGCAGAAGACGGCGTCTGGAGGTCGCCCGGCGGTCTCGGGAGGTCCCCAGAGGTCCTCGAAGGATTTGGGAGACTTTCCGAGGGCTCGGAAACAGCCAGAAGCGTAGAAGGTCACATCGGATGAACGAGATCCTGGAAATTCTTGACGCTCCGCGTATCCCCACCAGTGCTCCCCCCCTCTTCTGTTCTGTCCTAGCGTGCCCTCGCGCCCATCGCCTTTCCCCGCTTTTTCGCCTCCTCGTCTTGTTGGACGGTGCGGCCCCACTGGCCCTCTGTGCTGCCACAGCGCGGCGCGACCCACGCCGTTACGCGCTGGTCGGTACGGACTGAGCTGGCGCCATTGTGCGACTCCTCCTCCGTCAGTTTTCTTCTGATGCCCGCGTCCCTGCTTCCGGGTCGCCTGCATCTTAATGGGGGGCATTTTGTCCTTGGCACGTGCACTTGCTGCGTCGGCCTATGTGCCGTCGTTGATAATTATCTCGCCCTGTGCCCCAGCCGAGACCGCCCCGCTTCCTGGATCTGTCCTTGAAGCCGCCAATCAAAAAGTATCTCCACCAGCCTTCGGCTGGAGCTTGGCGCCGCAAGGGCGACTTCTCTTCCCGGTTCCTTTGCCGCCTCGTTGCCGCGCCTTTGCTTCCCCACCAGCCGGGCTGACTGGGCCGGTCACCAGCAGACGCTGAAATTCGTTTCGATGAGGGGCATTTTGTCCCTGGCATGTGCATGTGCCGCTGCGAGTGTTGTCCGCGGGAATCCGCGGCAATCTCGCGCCAATTAATGACGTACCGCGCCCCGGACGTTGTGCTCGTTCCCTGTCTCTTGCTTCGGAGCCGCGGACCTAAAAAGTATCCCCGCCAGCCCATGCAGAAACGATGCCCGGGCAAGTTGAGGTGTTGTTGTGAGAGGTTCTCGGAGGTCTCTTGGAGCCATCTTAGGGCTCTCTTGGGGTCGGGGCCTTCTACTGGCCCTTTTGGGGCTCTTTTGGGGGGTTTTGGGGCCCTCTTGGGGCTCGTTGGGAGGGTCTGGGAGGCCTCCTGGGGCCGCCTTGAGCCCCATGACTAAAGCATCCAGGGGTCGGAAATTCAGCCACGTCCCTGGAGGCTCACAAACGGCGTCTTGGAGCCGTTTTGGGGCGCTCTTGGGGCCATCTTGGAGGACAATCAAACAAAAGGATGGTCGCAATTCGCGTCCCCCCTCGGGAGCCCCACGAATCCCCTCCCGGACCCTTCTTGGGGCGCTCTTGGAGCGCTCTTTGGCGCTCTTGGGGCCGTGTTGAAGCTCTCTTGGGCCGCTCTTGGGGCCCTCTTGAGCCATCTTGGAGCCATCTTTAGGCCTCGGAAGGCTATCGGAAGCGAGCGGGCGACGATGCAAACGTCATTGGTTTTCCATGAGGTTTCTGAAGGATTTTGGCTTCTTGGAGGCCTCCTTGAAGGTCTCGGAGGCCTCTGGGAGCCGTCTTGGAACCTTTTTGGGGCCTCTTGGATTTGCAAGCCATATTGCGCTATCTTGAGCCATTCAGGAGGTCATCTTGGGCTCCCTGAGGCGCTCTTGGAGCCGTCTTGGGAGACAAAGTACCGTCTCACACCTCGCGAACCCCCGTCCAAGTCCAGGGGAGGGGGTAGGAGGGAGGGGTAAGCCCCTCCCCGAAGGGGAAGAAGGGGGTTGGAAGAGGAAACGCCCGGAACCACCTACGCCCAGAGGGCTGGTGGGATTTTGATTTCAGAGCAGGAAGAATACGGACACCCGCCGTCATCATGGCCAAATCCGCCTCGAAATGATGGTCAGAAGCCGAACGCGTTCCAGGAGTTATCCCCCGTGGTGCCTCGATCCCCGCTCGTCGACGTGCAGCGTCGACGACAACGATGACGACGACGACAATGATGGGAGCGGCGGCGGCGGTGACTGCGACGGCGGCGGCGGCAGCGACTACGACGTCGTACGGCCAGACCGAGGTACAAGATCGAGGTCGGTTGGGGGGAGGTGCCCTAAATATGTTTCGTGTCTTGTTTGATGTTTTTTGTGCCTCTTAGGGAGAGGGTGCCCTCGAGGGTTCTCCGGGCTGGCCAGCGGAGGGTCTCGTGTTCTTGAAGGCTGGCTACAGGATGGTGTTGCGGCTTGGACGTTTCTGGCAAGCCCGATCTGAATTGAACAGCCGCTGAGCGCCCTGTTGCAAATAGGAGGAGGAGGCGGAGGCGGAGGAGGAGAAGGCAGGGGCACAGTGCAATTGCTCTCGGTGGGGAACTCTTGGATCGCGTGTCGCTCCGCCGGGTCTGGCCCGCCACGAGCTCGCGCGACACGCTCTCCGCTTCCCTGCCCCCCCCCAGCTTCGACGCCCCGAGCCCGTGCGGGCCTCCCGCCCCGCGGAGCGGAGCGGCGGCACGCTGCCCGCTTGCAGGGCATGGCGTGTCGCCGGAGCCGCCGCGGCGACGCGCCAGGCACGAGGTGCCCGACCGCAGGGGGGCGGCAGGTGTCTTACTCTGCATCCTCGGGGGCCCTGGCCTGTCCTGTCAGTGTCCTGTCTTGATGTCCGACGTGGGTCCGACGCGGAGCCGACGGGAAGTCGACACGGATTCGACGCGGAGTCAACGCCGTCGACTTGGACTCGACATGGAGTCGACGCCGCCGCGGCACGGCTCGAGGATGCCGCAGCCGTGGGCGGCGGCGGCGGCGGCCGCAGGCACGGCGGACCTGGCCTGCGTCGTGTGCAGCCTGCCCCTCTACGCCGGGGGCGTGCGGGCCTTCCTCCTCCTCCTCCTCCTCCTCCTCCTCCTCCTCCTCCTCCTCCTCCTCCTCCTCCTTCTCCTCCTCCTCCTCCTCCTCCTCCTCCTCCTCTTCCCTCCTTCTCCCCTTCCCCTCCCTCCTCCTCCCCCCCCTCCTCCTCCCCCCCCCCTCCTCCTCCTCCTCCTCCTTCTCCTTCCTTCTCCTTCTCCTCCTCCTCCTCCTCCTCCTCCTCCTCCTCCTCCTCCTCCTCCTCCTCCTCCTCCTCCTCCTCCTTCCTCCTCCTCCTCCCCCCTCCTCCTCCTCCAGCTGCGCTGCTGCTGCTGCTCCTCCTCCTCCCCTCTCCGCCTCCTCCTCCTCCTCCTCCTCCTCCTCCTCCTCCTCCTCCTCCTCCTCCCCCCCCTCCTCCTCCTCCAGCTGCCTCCTCCTCCTTCCTCCTCCTCCTCCTCTCTCCTCCTCCCTCCCCTCTCCTCCTCACTCCCCCTCCTCCTTCCTACCTCCTCCTCCTCCTCCTCCTCCTTCTCCTCCCCCTCCCCCTCCTCCTCTTCCTCCTCCCCCTCCCCCTTCTCCGCTGTCGCCGCCGCCGCCGTCGAGGATTGAGGATCGACGAGCCAGGCTCGGCGGTCGACGATGGGCGATCTAGGGTCGAGGGTCGGGTGATCGACGATCGAGGGTTGGTGGTTGAGGTTCGAGGAATAAAGTTCGACGATTCGGGCGTTCCAGTGGGCTTCCATGGCCGCCGGACAGAGTGCAGCCAAGGAGAGGACGGGGGGTCGTCGTCATCGCCATCGCCGTCGTCGCCATTGTCGTCGCTGCCGTCGCCGTCGCCATTGTTGTCGCCGCCATCACCGTTGTGGTCTTCGCTTGTCTGCGGACGCGTTTGGCTCTTTTTCGGTGCCTCCTTTGGCCTCCTCAGAGGCCGTCGGCTGTTGTCGCCGCCGTCGCCGCCCTTGTCCTCGACATCCTCCTCCTCCTCCTCATCCTCCTCTGCGCTATATACTGTACTTCTCGTCGTCCGTCTTTTCGCCCCCGTCGTCCTCCCCTTCCCGCGTCGTCCTCCGCCTCCTCATCCTATCCCTCGTCTTTCTCCCCTGTGCGCATCAAGTTCCTCATCTTCCTGATCCTCTGTGCTCTGCTGCTCCACATCGGCTTGTGTTATGTTCCGACCTGTGTGCCCCTCCACTTTCCTCCATGCTCTGCTCTGCTCTCTTGGTCCATCTCAAGCCTCGGTCTCCTCAGTTGCTCTGCTCACTTGCTCTCTCTCTCTCTTTCTCTCTCTCTCTCTTTCTCTCTGCCCCCCCCCCGCCCCAACCCTCCCCTCCACCGTGCTCCTCCTCATCCTCCCCGCCCGTCCCTTCAGCATCATCCCCCGTTCCTCGTTCTTCCCCTCCTCCTCTGCCTTCCCCTGAGGGCGAGTGCGTGTCGAGCGGGTGCCTGGGCCCGCTGCTGACCCTGGTCTTCGCCATGACGCTGGTCTCCGTCAGCTCCTTCGTCGCGTTCCTCTGGATCCTCGAGGGGGGACGGCCTGGACCCTCCTCGGGGACTGAGGCTCGAGGACCGACGTTTCTGGAGGCCTCCAGGGGCCTCGGGGGGTACGGAGGAGGCCACACGGATGGGCGACAGCCTCGATCCTCGACCCCCTCCCCCCACCGTCCCCCTTCGCTATCCCTCCATCCATCCCTCCTCCTCCCCTCTTCCTCCTCGTCCTCTCCATCATTCCTTCCTCCTCCTCCTCCTCCTCCTCCTCCTCCTCCTCCTCCTCCTCCTCCTCCTCCTTCCCCCCCCCTGGGGTCAGGCTTTCCCCCTCCGAGCCGTCGCGACGCCTCGCCCAGTGTCTCAGGGCTCCAGGTCGTGGCTGGACCTCATGGAAGCGAACGCCACGGCCTGGGAGTTCACGCTCCTCGCCTCCGTCGCGCTCAACGTGGTCCTCTGCAAGGCGAGCGACGGAGAGCAGGGGGAGGGAGGAGGCCAAGGCACCGACGCCGCTGCCATGCCCTCGCTTTCGCCTCCTGGGGCCTCCCGGGAGGCCCTCGTCGCCACGGCTGGATTCGCCTCGGGATTCTGGTCAGAGCGCACCGCGGGAGAGGTCCGGGGAGGAGCGGTGTGGTGTTCCTTTCTTTCCCCAGAGCCGTCTCGGACATCGGACATTTGTTCTGACACGACCTTCGAGTCCACTCCGGCCGTGGTGACGAGGGTGATCCCGGAGGATCGACGAGGACCGAAGCTTCAAAATATTGGCCGTCGTCGAACCTCGTCGTCGCCGCCGTCGCCGCCGCCGACGTCGTCGCCGCCGCAGTCGTCCGTCGTTCGTCCTCGGCGTCCGCCGCCTTACATCGTCTTCCGTCGCCCGGCGTCGTCGTCTTCCGCCGTCGTCGTCTGTCGTCGTCGTCGTCTGTGCCGACGTCGGCGTCGATCTCGTCGTCGTCGCCGCCGCCGTCGCCCTCGCCGTCGCAGCCATCCTCTGCGTCGCCGCCGTCGCTGCCGCCTCCGCGCGGGCCTCGCCAGGTCTCCTGGGGCGTGTACCGCGCGCTGCGGCTGACCGGCCTGTACCCGCCCGGCATGGAGCCCGTGGGCCTCGGGCGCATCCGCACCGTGTCCCCGTGGGAGGCCGGTCTTCGACGAAGGGCGCTCGGCGATCGACGATTGACTCAGAGTGACGTGAAGTCGGGCATGTCCCTCTACAGAAGGAATGCTGAAAGATAGTTAAAGAAATCGTCAGGGGACGATGTTTTGACTAGGTTGGGCCATTTGGGGGCAGGTCTTGACAATATACTAGGTTTCGTCCAAGATCCCCCTGTAGGGGGACATGCCCGACCTAAGACTGACGACGAGAGTCGAGGAACAAACAACTATACATGATTTTCGGTAGCAAATCATGGGGGCCCTGTGTTCCCTCGCATTCACGCTTTCATCGAAGAAGGACAAATCCATAAACATAAACTTTTGGCGCTCCGCGCGGGTTTCTTTGATCCGCGCTGGGTCCCCCCCCCCCGGCGCAGCCCTGGGCGCGCTCCGCGAGCCAGGGAGGGGGGGTCAGCGCAGATCCAAGAAATCCGCACGGAGCGCCAAAAGTTGTTGTTTATGTTTTTGGGTTCTCCTTCGAACTTCATATATGTCAGTACTACAGCATGGGAGCTTTGTGTACCCTCGTATTCCCGCTGTGAGAGTGCATTAGCGCCGAGTTGCGCTTGGTGATCGGTGCGGCATCGCCGATTCAGCGTCGATTGGCGTTGATGTAGCGTCGATCCGCGTCGGATAGCGTCGATTCGCAGGGGCCAGCGAGACGGTATGGGATGCCCCCCATGAGCTGCCGCTGAAATACACATAATTGTTGTGGAGTTCCACGCGGATGTCTTGCTTCGGCGCTGGGTCCCCTTGGCGGCGCCTCCGGTGCCGCCCCTGGCGCGCGGAGCTCGCCAGGGAGGGGGGTCAAGCGCCTTCTGGACAACCGACGATCGACATCCGACGGCGACGGCGGTTTTTGACGAGGACGGCAACGACGACGACGCGACGGCGACAACGATGGAGATTGATGTCGACGCGCGATGCCGAACGACGAGTATCGACCACGACGAATGCAACAATCGCCGATCGACGACGGTGACGAGGTCAACGACGACGTACGGTAGCGGACGATGCCTAAAGTCGACGGCGACCGACCATCGACGTCGATCTACAGACGACGGACGATGACGACGATCAACGACGACGAGGGCGACGATCGACGACCGCGACGATCGATGATCGACGGCAATGTTGACTGACGGGCAACAATTGACGACGGCGGTGGCAGCGACGATCGACGACAGACGACGACGACGACGACGACGACGACGACGACGACGACGACGACGACGACGACGACGACGACGACGACGATTTTGACGTTCTCGGCATGTTACTCAGCCACCCGGGCCACTGGTGAATATGGACGATTGCGACGACGACGACGACAATCGACGACGACTTCGTTATGTTGACTGTCACTGGGAATGTTTGGAGGATCTCGTCGCCACTGCTGGACGCGGTTCGAAAAAGCTGGCCATTCTGGACCCTGGAGTTCGAGTGGGTTTGGATCGGAGGGCCACGTCGCTGACGACATAGTCGTTTTGGAGGTTCTGGTCGCCCCGGGTGGACGCGGCCACACGAACTACTTGGCAGGCTCTTCCCCCGTGTGCATTTCGGGGGGGGGATTTTCACTGGAATCTGCTTTGTTGGCGATGACGACGGCTCAAACGACGAGACGACGGGCAACGACGACTACGACTACGACGGCGGCGGCGGCGGCGGCGGTAGCGCTGGCGAAGGCTGCGGCCGCGGGCACGACGGCGTGTCCAGAGTTCTCTGGAGGCTCCAGGGGGGCCCCTGGGAGGTTCCCTGCAGGCCGAAGGAGCGCAGACAGGACTCACCAAGATTACCTCGCTCTTTCCTCGATCCTCAACACCCGACGGCAAACGGCCCTGGCATCGACGACGACGACGACGAGCATGGACGACGGACGACGTCGGCGACGAGACGTGACCCCGTGGGAGGTCTTCTGCGAGGCCGAGGACCTGGAGTGCTTCGGCGTCTGCGACCAGACTGGCAGGGGCCCCAAGGGCCTCGCGCAGACGGCCCCCCTCGAGGCTCAAGAGCCTTCTGAACATCGTCGGTTGGTCGCCGCCTTCTGGGCCAGTGGGGCCGCGAGGAGCCAGGCGGACCGTCCAGAGGCTCCACGTAGCACCGAAATCGGTTGATTCGCTGCCCCTCTGGACGGCTCTTCTGCAGGTCCTTCGTGGGCCCCGTGCCCTCCAGGTGCTCAGAGATGCCACAGCTGTGCCACCTCCTCTCTTAATGCCTTGGGGTACTGTCTTCGTGCCCCAGGGTTAAATCGGGCATGACCCTCTATAGGAGGAATATTCCCAAGTAGTCAAACTACAATACGGGGGCGACTTTTCCACCCATGTTTGATTTCTGTTTGAGCATGTTTGGGTCATTGTTGTGTTTTTCATCCAACATCCGCCTGCAGGGGGACATGCCCGACCTGACCCTGGGGCAACCGACAGCGACTCGCGACGACGAGCCTGCCCCCGCGCACGGGAGCCTCGTGCTCTGGAGGAGGAGGAGGAGGAGGAGGAGGAGGAGGAGGAGGAGGAGGAGGGAGGAGGAGGAGGAGGAGGAGGAGGAGGGGGAGGGGGAGGGGGAGGAGGAGGGGGAGGGGGAGGGCCCCGAAGACGGGGCTGCGAGGGCTCGAGCGGGGGGCCCATCGTCGCGGACGGACGCCGGCCTGCTCGACGCGTCGTCGGGCCCTCCCCGGGGCCCACGAGAGCCCCCCTCGGCGGAAACTGGCCGTCGATTGCTGGGGGGACCTGGGCAACCTCTGGGGGGTGGTCGTCCCCCACAGCCTCGCCATGTGAAGTCGGGCCTGTCCCGCTCCAGGAGGAGAACTCAAAGATAGTCAAAAAAATAGTCAGGGGACGATTCGTTGACTATCTTTGGAAAGTGTTGGATATTGTTTGATGGTTGTTTTATCTTTCGTCCCAAGTCCCCATGTAGGAGGACATGCCCGACCTATCGTAATGTTGTGGGACGTGCGTTGAGCCTCTGGGAGCCCCATGGGCTCCGAGGCTGGAGCCTGTCCGCATCCACCGCCCGGGAGACGGGTCTTCCTGGACCTCTGCAGGCGGCGGATGTGGAGATGTTCTGGCGCCCGGGGGCCAACATCGGAGGCGAGGGGGTGAGATCGCAGCGAAAGGGGGAGCCCCCGACCAGGAAGGCGGTCTCGGTCTCGTGCTCGTGCCGTGTGGGCGGGCGAGGCGAAGCTGCGTGGGCGGGCGAGGGGAATGGACTCTGCTCTGGCCAGGGCGCCGCTGGACCAAAAGACGCCTCCCCCCCCGTTGGCCCGGCGGTTGCTTGGGGGGTGTCCCGTCGTGGTGTCCCACAGGTGTCACGTCGGTGCCCCGCCTGTGCCCCATAGTGAGACCGAAAGCGAGACCGATAGTGAGATCGATATTCATATCGATGGTGAGACATATAATGAGATCGATCGTGAAACCGATATTGAGACTGATAGTGAGATCGATAGTGAGACCAATGGTTAGATCGATAGTGAGATCGATGGTGAGACAGCCTGCAGTGAGATCGACAGTGAATCCGATAGTGAGACCGATAGTGAGATCGATGGTGAGATCGACAGTGAGATCAATACCGAAATCAATAGTGAGATCGATTCTGCGATCGATGGATCGAGACGGTGGTCCCCCCCTCCGAACTTCCCCGCCACCCGCAGTGTTGTCGTATAGGCCCATCCACAGGCACCGCACGCGGAGGCCCC